GGCCGGAGACGCTGGCCATGAGGGAGTATATCGACGAGGCACTCATCGAGGGGCACATCCATCCCTCTACCTCACCCGCGGGCGCAGGCTTCTTCTTCGTGGGGAAAAAGGACGGTGGGCAGCGGCCGTGCATTGATTACCGGGCGCTCAACGACATCACGGTTAAGAACCGCTATCCATTCCCCCTGATGACAACGGCATTCGAGTCATTGCAGGGAGGCCGGGTCTTCACCAAGCTGGACTTATGCAATGCCTACAACCTGGTGAGGATTCGGGAGGGGGATGAGTGGAAGACGGCTTTTAACACACCCAGTGGGCATTAAGAGTACCAAGTCATGCCGTTCGGTCTAGCCATTGCACCTGCGGTGTTCCAGCTGTTGGTCAATGACGTGCTCCGGGACCTCCTCGACTACAGCGTCTTTGTGTATTTGGATGACATCCTAATATTCTCAAAGGAGGAGAGGTGGAGAGGGACGACCCCATTGTCCCCAATGCCCTGATTGCTGCACCAGTTTCGTGGGGAATCGATAGGCTGGTCAGAGCAGTGCTACGGCGGGAGCCAGATCCGGGCGGAGGTCCATCGGGGAGGATGTACATACCCACGTAGGAGGTTCTGGTGGCCATCGGCTGAGGGGGATATGCGTGCCTTCGCGGCTGCTTGCCCGGTGTGCGCCTGCCCATCCCCAAACGTCCCTGGTCCCACATCTCTCTGGATTTCACTGTTACAGGAGGGGGTCGCAGTTCCGGAGAGACCCACTAGGTGTCATCCTCCGACAACCTTAGGCACCTCCACAATCACAGTCTGGACTAATCAGTATCCTATTGGTGTCACCTGTGTCTACCTGTTCACCTGTGTATTTATTCCCTCACTTCGCTGTGTTCCCTTGCTCAGTTTTCTCTGTTAGTTTCTCTATGTCCAGCAGTACTACTCTGTGTCTGATCTGAGACCTATGTACAGGTACTTGAGAAGTGTTTTCCCTGTTTCGTTATTTGTTTCAGTCGTAGGTAGTATTTCGTATTTTGGCTGTCAGATGGTTTTTGGAGACTTATCTGCTCTGACTTTCTTTTATCATGATAAATCCGTTCTTTTGTATTTTGGCTTCGGGACCGCCAGTAAAGATCCTTGTTTCACCATCTCTGCCTACTGCCTACTGTATATCCTGCACCGCACCTGGGTCACACCTCACACCAACCCTTACAGATACTTTCATAACAGGAATCCCCCTGTAGCTCAGTTGGTAGAGCATGGCAATTGCAACGCCAGGGTTGTGGGTTCGTTTCCCACGGGGGGCCAGTATGAAAATGTATGCACTCACTAACTGTAATTCGCTCTGGATAAGAGCGTCTGCTAAATGACGTAAATGTAAATGAATCATCATAATGCATAGGCTATTACTGTTGACCAAATAATGGTTTTAGAACAATCTCCAGGAACGTTGTGTAGCAAAATCACTGGAAATGACCGACATAAGCAAAGCGCTTCGGTAAGAGGAAGGCAATGTTGTTGTCAGTAATTTTCAGTTTATCATCCCAGCTTTAAATTGTAGTATTCCCCAAAATATCTTAACATTTTCATAGTGATGTAGAATACACAACCACATGAGCCAGATATATACAGGTGTTAAATTATTCACAGAATTGTGGTAAGGATGTGCCCAAAAAGCTGTCTGAATTTCTGAAGATGTATGATCAATAAATGCAATATTAATCTTCAAACATGTAAAATGGGCAGATGAATAGTCATGGATGTGAGCTGATTAAAATGATGTACAATGTTATCCTAGTAGCTGTTTTCATTATGAGGACTATAAACTTGCCCCGTAGCCATTACTATGTGAAATTGTCCAATAAGGTCCCCATTGAGTTGTTTGGTGGCCATATTGGAAAAAGGCTTCTATGGGGTTAATGCCTGAATAATATGGCCCTATACAGTGAGGGAAAAAAGTATTTGATCCCCTGCTGATTTTGTACATTTGCCCACTGACAAAGAAATGATCAGTCTATAATTTTAATGGTAGGTTTATTTGAACAGTGAGAGACAGAATAACAACAACAAAATCCAGAAAACGCATGTCAAAAACGTTATAAATTGATTTACATTTTAATGAGGGAAATAAGTATTTGACCCCCTCTAAATCAGAAAGATTTCTGGCTCCCAGGTGTCTTTTATACAGGTAACGAGCTGAGATTAGGAGCACACTCTTAAAGGGAGTGCTCCTAATCTCAGCTTGTTACCTGTATAAAAGACACCTGTCCACAGAAGCAATCAATCAATCAGATTCCAAACTCTCCACCATGGCCAAGACCAAAGAGCTCTCCAAGGATGTCAGGGACAAGATTGTAGACCTACACAAGGCTGGAATGGGCTACAAGACCATCGCCAAGCAGCTTGGTGAGAAGGTGACAACAGTTGGTGCGATTATTCGCAAATGGAAGAAACACAAAATAACTGTCAATCTCCCTCGGCCTGGGGCTCCATGCAAGATCTCACCTCGTGGAGTTGCAATGATCATGAGAACGGTGAGGAATCAGCCCAGAACTACACGGGAGGATCTTGTCAATGATCTCAAGGCAGCTGGGACCATAGTCACCAAGAAAACAATTGGTAACACACTACGCCGTGAAAGACTGAAATCCTGCAGTGCCCGCAAGGTCCCCCTGCTCAAGAAAGCACATATACAGGCCCGTCTGAAGTTTGCCAATGAACATCTGAATGATTCAGAGGAGAACTGGTGTGGTCAGATGGTGTGGTCAGATGAGACCAAAATCGAGCTCTTTGGCATCAACTCAACTCGCCGTGCTTGGAGGAGGAGGAATGCTGCCTATGACCCCAAGAACACCATCCCCACCGTCAAACATGGAGGTGGAAACACAATGCTTTGGGGGTGTTTTGCTAAGGGGACAGGACAACTTCACCGCATCAAAGGGACGATGAACGGAGCCATGTACCGTCAAATCTTGGGTGAGAACCTCCTTCCCTCAGCCAGGGCATTGAAAATGGGTTGTGGATGGGTATTCCAGCATCACAATGACCCAAAACACACGGTCAAGGCAACAAAGGTGTGGCTCAAGAAGAAGCACATTAAGGTCCTGGAGTGGCCTAGCCAGTCTCCAGACCTTAATCCCATAGAAAATCTGTGGAGGGAGCTGAAGGTTCGAGTTGCCAAACGTCAGGCTCGAAACCTTAATGACTTGGAGAAGATCTGCAAAGAGGAGTGGGACAAAATCCCTCCTGAGATATGTGCAAACCTGGTGGCCAACTACAAGAAACGTCTGACCTCTGTGATTGCCAACAAGGGTTTTGCCACCAAGTACTAAGTCATGTTTTGCAGAGGGGTCAAATACTTATTTCCCTCATTAAAATGCAAATCAATTTATAACATTTTTGACATGTGTTTTTCTGGATTTTTTGTTGTTGTTATTCTGTCTCTCACTGTTCAAATAAACCTACCATTAAAATTATAGACTGATCATGTCTTTGTCAGTGGGCAAACGTACAAAATCAGCAGGGGATCAAATACTTTTTTCCCGCACTGTATCTACAAATCTTTTTAAAACAATAGTTGTAGCTGGTGCTTTAAAAGTTGGTTTTATTAAATATTATTTGAAAGCTAATTACATGACCTTTAAGAACAACTTGTCAAACAAAGTTTAAAATGTATCAGGGTTTCCGTTTTAAAGCCATTCATACAGGTAATTCTGATATGTAGCCTACCCTAGAGGTCAAAGTTCTGTTGACCTGAAAATTCTGAAAATTTGTCTGATGAATAGCTGTGAATCTAAGCTTTCCAATGATATATGAGTAAAGTGTATAAGTAAGCAATAAAACTTGTTGTATACTGACATTGTTTGTCATAGAACATTTTATGGATGGAGGGATGAAAGAAAAGAGTGATACACAGAAAGCTACCATTGCTGCACTGCCATCACACATTTTCCAATTTTTAAAGAAATTACTATGAGACATCATCTGCCCAAGTGAGCCCGACCGACCCCCCATGGCTCATGGACTATGGTCATGTTTACTTCTGCAGCAAAGCTAGTACAATGAGCCAGATGTTTCACAGCATGTATAAATCTGAAGCATCCGGTTGGCGTTTCCACTCACCACCAAATATGGTGATGAGAGGAAGCCCAACATTTACGCTCAACACAGTTTCCTGTTCCCACAACTATAATATGTTAGGAACAGGACAGAGTGGACAAAGTTTTGTAGACTTTACCCTTTGCCAAAGTTTTTAAAAATGTGTGTTGTTTAAAAGGAGTGCAATGGCGAATTGAGTTCTTGCGCACACGCACTTCACAGAGTAGTTGTTCCCTAACGAAAATATGCAAATGTAGGCTAGAACTCGCCAATAGGATCTCGCTAGCTCGTGCTTGGCTCTGCCCATCTCTTTGCTTGTTCTGCCCACTATGATTAATTTGCTCCCGTTGGAAACTACAGGCTATGCTCTATCTTGGGGTAGTTAGAAAAATCTTTGTCTGCGGAGAGGAAGTGGAGCGATCTAGCGGCTTCGAGGGCTACATGCGCCTGGTGGAATCCTCAATGGCGGCACCACACTTGCACAAAAATAAACACGTATTATTTTTTAAATAAATTGCAAAGTCCAATTACCACCAAAATACTTATAAACATCTGTATTTTATCATCCCTAATGAAAACGACAATTTTAAAGCGTGAACGCAGAAGTGATTTAAATTAATGAAACTCCTTGCCCCCGCCCCTCTAGCGCTACAACACGTCCAGCACGATCCGTATTTATATGCAGGTGCCTCTCATTCTCTGCTTGTTTACACTTTGAAGTGAGTTTAGGTTTGATGCAAAACAGAATTCTTGTGAAATTGCATCTCTTAAGAATTTATTCTAGTCGTTTCTGCAGAGCGAGAAGGGCTGCATTATTGAAACATATGTATCAGTGAGCCTAACTCACTGACACTATCGTGGCAGTTGCATTAACATAACTTTAGGAGCTTAGTTAAATTCCTCATAAATCGTGAAAATGCCTCTTCTGCAACATATATTGGACACAGACTTGGAGCGGTTAGCCCTGGACCTGATTGTCCCGTCCCTTCTTGACCAAGGATTCTTTTACGTGGATAACTTTCTAGGAGAATTGGTTGGACACATTGTTTTGGACCAAGTCAAAGAGCTGCACAACTCTGGAGTTCTGCAGGATGGACAGCTGGCTGGTCCTGGCCGGAGTTCCGGGGTTTCCACAAGGAACATTCGGGGTGACAAGATAGCCTGGGTCAGTGGAGTTGAAAGGGGGTGCGAGGCTATTAACGTCCTCCTTACATTAATCGATAAGTTGGTTTCTCATTGCATCGGCCGACTTGGGAAAAGCATAATTCGAGAAAGATCAAAGGTAAATTGTGCGACAATTGTGCGTAAATTGCGTGCATATCCGTGGTTTGAAGGTGGGAAAAATGTGTGATCACTTTGTCCTAATATTCTATTTGATTATGTTAATATAGTAGCTAGGGCTGTGAATTCTAAACGATATTTAAGGGATAATCAACGAGGGGCTATGCGTTATATGGAAAATAATGCACAATGACATGTGGAAGGTGTGTCCCACAACGAGTAGCGGAGTGGCACTAACCTTCGACGGAGTTGCTTTGTTTAACAGAGAACGCATGGAACACAAAGTTGACTATCCTGCTTATACCACGGCTATAATTGAACACATTTGCTGCTAGAAATGTGTTCAACATCAACTGAAGTAGCTAGCTAGCAAGTTTACGAGATAGCCACAGTAGTTGCCTTGGACGTGACCAAACAAACAGACTTGCTAGATAAGAAACCATCCTCATAGCTTGCTATTATGAAAATCGAATTCAACAACCCCAATCATGTTTTCAATTTGACTTTTGCTTTCAAAAGCAGCTCAAACATAGAACATGTAAGAATGAACTTCATAGCCATTTTAATATTACCATGCATTATAGGGAAATAATGCACGATCTAGAATATCCTTCAAGCCAATCAGAAACGATTATTCAACAATGCCATGGTATAATTAAGCAATAAGGCACAAGAGGCAGTGCTGTATCATGAATACAGTCGCAGGTAAATGGCGTTGTTAGGCCCGAGGCGATAGCGGAGGGCCAGTCAACCCATTTACCTGTGACTATATTCATGATACAGCACTACCTCGTGTGTCTTCTGAAAAAATGATTGTTGTCTATCAACAATGACAAGCCACCGGGGTTTGACAACTTGGATGGAAAATTACCGAGGATAATAGCAGACGATATTGCCACTCCTATTTGCCATATTTTCAATTTAAGCCTACTAGAATCTGTGTGCTCCCAGGCTTGGAGGGAAGCAAAAGTCATTCCGCTATCTAAGAATAGTAAAGCCCCCTTTACTGGTTCAAATAGCCGACCAATTAGCCTGTTACCAACCCTTAGTAAACTATTGGGAAAAAATAGTTTGACCAGGTACAATGCTATTTTACAGTAAACAAATTGACAACAAACTTTCAGCATGCTTATATAGAAGGACATTCAACAAGCACAGCACTTACACAAATGACTGATTGGCTGGGAGAAATTGATGATAAAAAGATTGTGGGGGCTGTTTTGTCAGACTTAAATGCGGCTTTTGACATTATCGATCATAGTCTGCTGCTGGACAAACTCATGTGTTATGGCTTTACTCCCCCTGCTATATTGTGGATACAGAGTTACCTGAACACAGAGGGTGTTTTGTAATGGAAGCCTCTCCAACATAATCCAGGTAGAATCAGGAATTCCCCAGGGCAGCTGTCTAGGCCCATTACTTTTTTCAATCTTTGAGTAAAGCCAGTGTGTATGCGGATGACTGTACACGTCAGCTACCACAGCGACTGAAATGACTGCTACACTTAACAAAGAGTTGCAGTTAGTTTCAGAGTGGGTGGCAAGGAATAAATTATTCCTAAATATTTCTAAAACTAAAAGCAGTGTATTTGGGACAAATCATTCACAAAACCCTAAATCTCAACTAAATCTTGTAATAAATAATGTGGAAATCGAGCAAGTTGAGGTGACTAAACTGCTTGGAGTAGCCCTGGATCGTAAACTGTTGTGGTCAAAACATATTGATACAACAGTAGCTAAGATGGGGAGAAGTATGTTGATAATTAAGCACTGCTCTACCTTCTTAACAGCACTATCAACAAGGCAGGTCCTACAGGCCCTAGTTTTGTCACACCTGGACTACTGTTCCGTCGTGTGGTCAGGTGCAACAAAAAAGGACTTAGGAAAATTACAATTGGCTCAGAACAGTGCAGCACGTCTGGCCCTTGGATGTACACAGAGAGCTAATATTAATAATATGCATGTCAATCTCTCCTGGCTCAAAGTGGAGGAGAGATTGACTTCATCACTACTTGTATTTATGAGAAGTATTGACATGTTGAATGCACCAAGCTGTCTGTTTGAACTACTGGCGCACAGCTCAGACAACCATGCATACCCCACAAGACATGCCACCAGAGGTCTCTTCACAGTCCCAAAGTCCAGAACAGACTATGGGAGGCACACAGTACTACATAGAGCCATGACTACATGGAACTCTATTCCACATCAAGTAACTGATGCAAGTAGTACAATTAGATTTAAAAAACAGATAAAAAACATCTTATGGAAGAGCGGGGACTGTGAAGCAACACAAACAGCAGCTAATGGGGATCCATAATAAATACAAATCTCACCACCGCTAATGAGATGGGTTTGCTTGATGCATGACGCGTCGGAGCTTCTCAAAGTCAGGGGGCGTGGTCGACAGTGTCACTTCATCTCTGCTCTCACATCCAACCTGGATCGATATTTGGTTTTAATGCAGACGAGAGCACTGAATCTAGCTTCACACAGATATGAGCTGGCAAAGGGTAGCCTACCATGAGTTTTATGGTGCTTTCAAGACAACTGGGAACTTGGAAAAATACGAGCTCAAATCATGATGTCAGTGATCTTTAGGTCGGAAAGTCAGAGCTCTAGAAAGGCCTGAGTTCCCAAGTTGGAATTCCAAGTTAGATGACCGTTCAAAGATTTTTCCCAGTCGGAGCTCGTTTCTTTCCAAGCTCCCAGTTGTCTTGAACGTACTGAAGTCGGAAGTCTGAGATTTCCGAGTTCCCAGGTAAGAGTTCCCAGTGTTTTGAACGCGGCATTAATGCTCAAAAGGGAGACTGTAGGGTATTCCCTTTTAGTCCCTTTGGCCTGCCCACCATTCCGTGATGGATGGAGCCTCATCTGTGCAAAAATATGGAATCAGTTTTTCATCAATATAGCCACGCAACACACTGAACATCCCATATGCCGTTTCATTCTCGGGAATTGTGAGAAAGATAGGACAGACTGACCCTAGCACCCCGGCAAATAGACTATTGCAGCATAGATACTGGGGACTGAGACGGGGGGTCGGGGGACACTGCACATCCCACCACCTCCCTTCTCTCTTTCTCACATGCCTGCATCCTGCTCCCAACCTTATGTAGACAAACCATTTATCAGGTGGACTGATTATAAAAACAACTGGAGTAACAACAAAAACTAGCTGTTGTTTACCTTGATTTTTAAATTAAAGGAAGGCAATAAGAAGAACAAAAACATTCTGAATGATCTGTAAAAGGATTTATAGATATAAATCTATGGATGTATAGAGCGAGAGAGAGAGAGGGGGAGGGAGGTAGGTAGACCTAGCAGTACTACATGAAGAGTCTGCTGGCTCACGCTCCACACGTAGCACTGTCATTAAACCTTCAACATCCTGGCAGCCTTCCAGCTTTGCTCTGTGTGGACTTCCCCTTCCTCGCTCTCTTCCTTTCTCTCTTGTTTCACATGTTTTCACTCTTCTTTGACAACACTGTGCGAACATGCATACACTCCCCCAATGTAGACAGTAACAGTCCTAATACTCCTTTCCTCAGCACGTGCTGACAGGAGATATGATGCTGTGCAAATAAACTAAAGGATCACTTTATCAGATAAGACCCTTGTGACGTTGCTTCTGAAGAGTGATTTTATTGCAGCTTTATTATATAGGTGTATGCATATATCAATCGTTCAATAATCAAAGGAGAGAGAAATGTTTAATTATATGATGCATGTCTAAAGGTTGCTGTTAAATTGTAAACGTAATTTTCCCTGAAATAAGACCACAGATTTGTCCCTTTGCATTGTAACCTAGCTACTGGAAAGGAAATGCGTTTTTATTTGTCCACAGCTGTCCTTGACACACAACCTTCAGGGAAGTCACTTGTTAAGCAACGCAGTGGCTGAATTCAATGTGTAGGCAGTCTGAGTCCAGTGACCTTTTTCTGTACTGTGAGGGTCAAAGGTTCCTCCATATGCAGGAACGGGACCTCAGGACCTCCTGTTTCCTGAGGGTTAGGAAGGTACAGCTGTTTTGTTGGGCTGAGAGAAAAGGGCTGTGCAACCACAAGGTCAAATATGAGGTGCTTAAATTTGTCCTGTTGCACACATACTGTACAATTGTGTGGTGAAATGGAAATGTGGTTTTTGCATATCCCACTCCCCCAATTAGGGTTAAGTGCCATTTTCAAGGACAGATCGACAGATTTTTTATTTAGTCGGCTCGGGGATTCAAACTAGCAACCTTTCGGTTACTGGCCCAACGCTCTAACCGCTAAGCTACCTGCCGCATATTGTGGAATCATATGGCTATCTATATCCTCATCATGTTTCAACAAAACATTTGGATCCAATCCTGTTCCTTTGCATCTGCACTGTAGCACACATGCTAAATATCACACGTTGCCAAAATAAAATATAATTTGACAAAATGTTGCCTTGGCTGGGCCTCTAGCAAACCTTCTATCTGATCCAATGTATCCACTATTGGCCCTTGACCACAAGCGTCTTCATTAGCATTGCTTTGAGGGCTTTTCTTGGCTTTCTTATTACAAGATAAATGTTTTGCAACCAAGATATTTACCCATCAATCTCTTGTTCTATTTTTGTCTCTGATATGCAGACACTATTTCTGTATTCTTAGAATATTCCAAGGCCACTGAAAAATGCACAAATACTTTCCCACACAAAGGCTTCTGTAACAGGGTACACTACAGTCTGTTGTTTGTTACATATTATCACATGATTAATGATGATCAGCGAGTATACTAAATATAATGTGTAATGGACTGAGAATGTATGTTTTGTTTTGTGTTTGTCTATTTCAGGCAATGGTGGCGTGCTATCCAGGAAATGGGACAGGATATGTGAAACATGTGGACAATCCCAATGGTGACGGTCGCTGTGTCACCTGTATCTACTACCTGAACAAGAACTGGAACACAGAGGTGGAGCAGCAGATTAATTACATATGCATTCCATATTTATTACATATTACATTAACTACACATTATTATTATTATTATTATTATTACATATTTATTGAATATGTATTACACATTATTACATATATACATTTCTTACACATTCTTATTACATGTATTTGTCACCTATTCTAAAATAGGTGCAATCAACGGCAATCCTTTTAAATTACACTTACATTTTCAAGAAAGTCCCTGTTTTTTGTATTTTTCGATGATTGTTTAGTTCCCAATATAACATAATGAACGATTGTCATTATATTTAAGCAAGGTTTATTTTTAGACTATGAAAATGTGAGATATTGCCATCAAAAAAGTATGCCCACCACTTGTTGGAAAACCCCATCTGGCTTCTGATCTTTGTAAATTGCAGACCAAGTCTCTTAAGCTTAACTTCTTATTCTGTAAAGCTGAAGTCAACAATATGTATTTGTTATTTTGCAGGAGCATGGAGGAATTCTTAGGATTTTTCCAGAGGGCAAATCCTACGTTGCAGATGTTGAGCCCCTGTTTGACAGACTGTTGTTCTTCTGGTCAGATAGAAGGAATCCACACGAAGTGCTGCCGTCATATGCAACAAGGTCTGTTTGATGCATCATACTGTTATTATATAGATAAATACTCTTTTAATTCATATACACTACCGGTCAAAGGTTTTAGAACACCTACTCATTCAAGGGTTTTTCTTTATTTTTACTATTTTCTACATTGTAGAATAATATATATATTTTATATTTGAGATTCTTCAAATAGCCACCCTTTGCCTTGATGACAGCTTTGCACACTCTTGGCATTCGCTCAACCAGCTTCACCTGGAATGCTTTTCCAACAGTCTTGAAGGAGTTCCCATATATGCTGAGCACTTGTTGGCTGCTTTTCCTTCACTCTGTGGTCCGACTCATCCCAAACCATCTCAATTTGGTTGAGGTCGGGGGATTGTGGAGGCCAGGTCATCTGATGCAGCACTCCATCACTCTCCTTCTTGGTAGAATATATCTTACACAGCCTGGAGGTGTGTTGGGTCATACCATAACACCTCCTCCTTCATGCTTTACGGTGGGAAATACACATGCAGAGATCATCCGTTCACCCACACCGTGTCTCACAAAGACCGGTCTAATGTCCATTGCTCGTGTTTCTTGGCACAAGCAAGTCTCTTCTTATTATTGGTGTCCTTTAGTAGTGGTTTCTTTGCAGCAATTTGACCATGAAGGCCTGTCTCCTCTGAACAGTTGACGTTGAGATGTCTGTTACTTGAACTCTGTGAAGCATTTATTTGGGTTGCAATTTCTGAGGCTGGTAACCTTAATGAACTTATCCTCTGCAGCAGAGGTAACTCTGGGTCTTCCATTCCTGTGGCGGTCCTCATGAGAGCCAGTTTCATCATAGCACTTGATGGTTTTTGTGACTGCACTTGAAGAAACGTTCAAAATTCTTGACATTTTCCGTATTGACCTTCATGTCTTAAAGTAATGATGGACTGGTGTTTCTCTTTGCTTATTTGAGCTGTTCTTGCCATAATATGGACTTGGTCTTTTACCAAATAGGGCTATCTTCTGTATACCTCCCTACCTTGTCACAACACAACTGATTGGCTCAAACGTATTAAGAAGGAAAGATATTCCACAAATGTAACTTTTAAGAAGGCACACCTGTTAATTGAAATAATTACACTTTTTTGGTTACTACATGATTCCATATGTGTTATTTCATAGTTTTGATGTCTTCACTGGTATTCTACAATGTAGAAAATAGTAAAAATAAAGAAAAACCCTTGAATGAGTAGGTGTGTCCAAACTTTTGACTGGTAGTGTACAAAAAGGTCTTAATCTGCTGTTGAATGTATCATAATATTGTTATTATTATTATTATTATACAGATTTTCATAAAATGATAGATGCAATGTAATTATGTATTAATAATAATTGTGAATCTTGCTATGTTCCAGATATGCTATAACAGTGTGGTATTTCGATTCAGAAGAAAGAGCAGAGGCAAAGAGACGGTTCAGAGTCTTAACAGGTACAGTTCTCCATTTGATCAATCAATGTGTAAACAAAAACATCTGCTAACGCTTTACATTAAGTTGCTCTTATTCCTATGCAGTAATTACTACAGTTAATGCATTGTATTTATATAGTACTAAGATTAGGTTACAACCTGTATCCTAATCATTAATGGCATTCATCTGTCTTTTTCAGCCTCCACTCAGGACCAGGACGGAAGCACCATGTGAACTGTGACCTTTTTAAGAGACTGCATCTTGTGTGACACAATAGAACAATAAATCCCCAATCCTTCGTGTTGACATGGGCTGACAGAGTTTTCACACTTTGGTCTCATCACCTGTTTGGATTTTGGTATCTCTTCTAAAAGCTACAAAGATGTTGAAAGCTACAAAGATGTGTGACTGATGGCTTTGTACATATTTTGAAATTAAATTATTTGCTGCTCTTTCAATAACCAGGGTACTCATTACTGTTTTTAAACCCACGTGCCCTGAATCAACCCAAATAACACTGTACTACTTCTTGAAATGTCTTCATCCTCCTGAGACCCAGCAATTCATTTTTGTTCACTCTAATGGACAGTAGTTGTTGATTTGTATTTCTGAGGCCATACATGGCACTGTGTTAAGTCCTGTTGTAACTTTGAGAGGACATTCCGGGCTTTTCAATGATATCACATGTATGGGGGTGTGACCTTGATGACTCTTTCTTCTTGGATTTTCAAAATTGCTATGTTTTTCACCTACTGTAGAGGCTTTAGACAATGCCCAACATTCTAAAATAGGCCACTTAGACTCTATACACTCTTTTACAGGCACGGTTCCAATGCGTTTCCCCATAGATACTTTTTTTGTATAATGTTTTACATTTTTTTAGGGGTTAGATCAGCTTTAATATTGCAGATAGATTGTAACTTCATCAATGTAATTGTCTGCATCACTTCCAATCCCCCATATGTTTTTTTTCTCGCAAATATATATATATACACACACACAGCTCTGGAAAAAATTAAGAGACCACTGCAAATGTTTCTTAAATCAGCATCTCTACATGTATGACAGCCATTCCATTCCAGTGTCTGTTGAATTCCAACACAGGCACACCTCATTCTACTGAATTAGGTACTGATTAGGTGATCACCTGAACCAAATGTTATTTAACGAGGAAAAGTATAAAAACCACTGCTGTGGTCATCACTATCCTCTTGCAATAGGACCATCTGGATGGCAAAAACAGTGCTAATAGTACCTCAAAAGTAATATTAATACAAAAAATAACTATGGACCATGCCAAAAGAGTTGAAAAGGAAAGTTTTGAGTGAGGAAAAGAAGGGTTCAATTCTGGCTTTAATGGCCGAGGGATACAGTGAGCATCAGGTTGCTTCCGTCCTTAAAATTTCAAAGACGGCGGTTCATAAGAAAAAGGTCAAGCAGCAGACATTGGGGACATGACCGGGATGACCACCAACTCATTCGAATGTCACTCAACAACCGTAGGATGACATCAAGTGACCTACAAAAAGAATGGCAAACGGCAGCTGGGGTGAAGTGCACGGCGAGGACGGTTCGAAACAGGCTCCTAGGGGCAGGGATGAAGTCGTGCAAAGCTAGAAAAAAGCCCTTCATCAATGAGACGCAAAGAAGAGCCAGGCTGAGGTTGGACCGTAGAGGACTGAAAGGTCATTTTCTCTGATGAGTCCAATTTTCAGCTTTGCCCAACACCTGGTTGTCTAATGGTTAGACGGAGACCTGGAGAGGCCTACAAGCCACAGTGTCTCGCACCCACTGTGAAATTTGGTGGATGATCGGTGATGACGTGGGGGTGCTTCAGCAAGGCTGGAATCGGGCAGATTTGTCTTTGTGAAGGATGCATGAATCAAGCCACGTACAAGGTTGTCCTGGAAGAAAACTTGCTTCCTTTTGCTCTGACATTGTTCCCCAGGATTGTTTTTTCCAGCAGGACAATGCGCCATGCCACACAGCCAGGTCAATCAAGGTGTGGATGGAGGACCACCAGATCAAGACCCTGTCATGGCCAGCCAAATCTCCAGACCTGAACCCCATTGAAAACTTCTGGAATGTGATCAAGAGGAATATGGATGGTCACAAGCCATCAAACAAAGCCGAGTTGCTTGAATTTTTGCGCCAGGAGTGGCATAGTCACCCAACACCAATGTGAAAAACTGGTGGAGAGCATGCCAAGACGCATGAAAGCTGTGATTGAAAATCAGGGTTATTCCACCAAATATTGATTTCTGAACTCTTCCTAAGTTAAAACATTAGTATTTTGTTGTTTAAAAATGAACATGTTAAAAAATATATATATTACCCAAACACATACCTATAAATAGTACAATCAGAGAAACTGATCATTTTGCAGTGCTCTTAATTTTTTCCAGAGCTATATATATTTCATTTTATTACCTTCCAACCCCACCACCCCTTCCCTAATTGGAGTAAACTAGTGAACAACAATGCTAAGGCCTCTACTTCCAGCTTATACAGACTATATACATTTTATGGCACAGTCAATTTTACACTAATTATATTTTGTTTGTTTTTACTCCTGAACTTCCTCTACCCTCAACATCTCCGATCATTTTCATGATGTCCATCCGGTTTGCTTCTATATGCCATATCTTTCTAACTGTGCTCTTTCACAAAAACTCTCAACCTATAACCTATATACTTATTATGGACACATTATGCTTTACATTATTAGTTATATTGTTGTTGCTAGTTGTTATTAGTCCCATCCTTCAACTTCATTCAACACCACCCATCTATCTCCTAACACCATCCATATTGGATTTCTATTTGCCATATACTTTTCAACTGTACTGTGATGTTTTACAAAAGTTCTGAACCTTGCTATTCTCATTGTTTCTACAGATCGTAAATTGAAAATAAATTGTTTTGCTAAAAGTATTATTATATTATTGATCGATTGACTATGACTTTTCAGATCACCCAGTAATGCTATCTGCAGGGTTAGCTCCAGATAAATATTGCAATCCTTTAGCCATTCCTGGACCTGTGTCCAAAAACAAGCTACAAATGGACAGTACCAAAACAAATTATCTAATGATTCTGTTTCTTCGCAGCAAAATCTGCAGAGCTGGGAAGATTATACCCCCCATATAAACAACATTCTATTGGTAGCAAGAATTTTATATAATAATTTAAATTGAACATTTTGACGTTTTCAATCGGGCGTCGTTTTGCGTATCAGTTCATAAACACCATGCCATGGAATCGGTACGTCAAAAATCTCTTCCCAACTATTTTGCAATCTATATGGGACAGCTGTCAATCCTTTGGTCCTTAAATGAAACTGGTATACTTTTTTATTTATCACAGTTTTCTTTAACCAATTATGTTCTTTAATGCAAGGCCGACAGACAAGTTCCTTACTTTTTCCCCCTTCCACTTTCCTCTTCCATTTTTGCGGTAGAGATCCTCTATGAGGCTGTGGAGGGATTCAAGTTGTGGATTTAAAAGAAAACATGAATCATCAGCATACAATGATGAGTTATTGTTCCAAATAAAATGAAATGTATTACTCACAAAAGTTATTATACAATTTGGCTCATCTGTAATTAAAATGTGTGTATGTAAATATTGAACAGTAAAGATGAATTGAGCTGACAATGTCATGTTGAAAAGCTCTAAATCAAAATGGGCACCTGTTGTGGCTCAAAGACATTGTCACACCGTATGTCTTGTTTTAAGTTGGTAATAACATCTGGAGTACTCAAGGGTGCATCTCAAATGGTGACCTATTTCCTATGTTTTACACTACTTTTGACCACAGGCCCTTGTGACAGAGAAGGAACACAGGGTTTTCGATAATCCAAATCCTTACTAGTTTATTACACGTCAACAATAGTTATAAACTAGTTGAGAGTAGTTATGAGTGACTCCCAGCACTTCTCTCATTACTGATAGCTCTGAGCAGACATCTTCAACAATAACTACACATGTTCAGGTTGTTTGTGAAGCTTCTGTATACACCTTGTGAGAAGAAATCAATGATTGATGCAACATTCAACTCTTCACAGAGGTGGTGAAAGAAAAATTGTTCATTTTGGATATACAGCTCTGTATTGTTGGCTGTAAAGGATTTTAGTGCTTAAAATCAGCTTGTATACTGGTCAGCAAAGCTGGTGGATATAGCCTACAGTATGGTGAATAAGAGTGGTTTTGTAAATGTTTGTTACTTATACAGTGGGGGAAAAAAGTATTTAGTCAGCCACCAATTGTGCAAGTTCTCCCACTTAAAAAGATGAGAGAGGCCTGTAATTTTCATCATAGGTACACGTCAACTATGATGGACAAATTGAGGAAAAAAAACCAAAAGAATCACATTGTAGGATTTTTAATGAATTTATTTGCAAATTATGGTGGAAAATAAGTATTTGGTCACCTACAAACAAGCAAGATTTCTGGCTCTCACAGACCTGTAACTTCTTCTTTAAGAGGCTTCTCTGTCCTCCACTCGTTACCTGTATTAATGGCACCTGTTTGAACTTGTTATCAGTATAAAAGACACCTGTCCACAACCTCAAACAGTCACACTCCAAACTCCACTATGGCCAAGACCAAAGAGCTGTCTAAGGACACCAGAAACAAAATTGTAGACCTGCACCAGGCTGGGAAGACTGAATCTGCAATAGGTAAGCAGCTTGGTTTGAAGAAATCAACTGTGGGAGCAATTATTAGGAAATGGAAGACATACAAGACCACTGATAATCTCCCTCGATCTGGGGCTCCACGCAAGATCTCACCCCGTGGGGTCAAAATGATCACAAGAACGGTGAGCAAAAATCCCAGAACCACACGGGGGGACCTAGTGAATGACCTGCAGAGAGCTGGGACCAAAGTAACAAAGCCTACCATCAGTAACACACTACGCCGCCAGGGACTCAAATCCTGCAGTGCCAGACGTGTCCCCCTGCTTAAGCCAGTACATGTCCAGGCCTGTCTGAAGTTTGCTAGAGTGCATTTGGATGATCCAGAAGAGGATTGGGAGAATGTCATATGGTCAGATGAAACCAAAATAGAACTTTTTGGTAAAAACTCAACTCGTCGTGTTTGGAGGACAAAGAATGCTGAGTTGCATCCAAAGAACACCATACCTACTGTGAAGCATGGGGGTGGAAACATCATGCTTTGGGGCTGTTTTTCTGCAAAGGGACCAGGACGACTGATCCGTGTAAAGGAAAGAA